GAATGTTATGCATTACTCCTCCCAGTTGAAACTTTGGTTTTTCACCGTTTTCAGACTTCCCCTATTGCCGATTGGGCATCATTATTCCACTATTACTGCCCCAAAATCTCAAAGTTTCATTTTTCGTCGAAACTTTGCCTATTGGGGTAATTCGATGCCCTGATTACGAATATGACATTCATTCTCGTAGTGTGGCCCCAAACATCACACCTCGCCCCATTTTTTGCGACATGTTCCATGTTTAGAGCAGATGTTATGTAGAAAGCTGTGAAGGCAGCGACGAATTTCCTTTACTGTCGTAGACTACGGTCACTTGTCTGTAGGAATTACATAGAAACCTTGGTGGCAGGTGAGTCTTCCTTCCGTAGTGTGACCCCAAACATCACACCTCGTCATGCCCTTGCGATATGATCAGATTTTTTTTGGTTCTCCAGATGAACATAGAAGACTGAGATGTGCACCATTCAATTCCCCATAAAATACTGTCGAACGGTATACAACTCACTTTCTGGAGAACATCTAGTTTACCTGCCACTAGATCCATTTTGTGACATTTCCCAATTTTCGAAGGGATGTTTTGAGGAAATTCGAGAAGGGAGGGACGAACTCTCTTCCCTATCGTAGAGTAAGTTTACTTGTATGTTGGAAAAAGATGATATACTCGGGCTTGAGCGAGTGTTTCTTCCCTGGTGTGGCCTCAAACATCGCTCTCCGTCATGCCCTGAAATAAAAACCAGATTGTTTGGTCTTCCAGGTGGCTCTACGGAGCTGTGGTGTACACCATTCGATTATCCATGCAAAATGCTTCGACGTTATAATCTGGTCACTTGAAATTCGTTTTTCCGTTTTCGGCCTTTTCCTTACCGCCGATCGCCTTCCTCACCAGGGAGGTCTTTCAGGGCGTGACGAGCTTTTTGAAAGCGGTCTTTTGCATGATATAGGGGCAGATGCGGGGACCACAGAACCATGTTTAATTTTTCCTGAACGGCCCTCTGAATACCAGAAAAGGGGGTCCCTAGTTCGATTCCTCTTGGTGACAAATTTTTGCATTTCGAGTTGACGTTCCAAAATTCGCGCAAAATGGAGTTCTGATTGTTCTGGTTGGTTCTAACTCCATTTTGCGCGAATTTTTGCACGTCAACTCGAAATGCAAAAATTTGTTACCACGAGGAATCGAACTAGGGACCTCCTTTTCTGGTATTCAGAGGGCCGTTCAGGAAAAATTGAACATGGTTCTGTGGTTCCCGCATCTGCCCCTATATCATGCAAAAGACCGTTTTCAAAAAGCTTGTCACGCCCTGAAAGACCTTCCTGGTCAGCCCTGGCCACCCACGTGCTATTCACGTGCGCGGTGCGTGATGACTTTCCCACGCACTTTCGACACGCATAGCGGTGTATCGATCGGGCTGCCCGCCAGCTACCGAGAAAGGCCATCGGCTGTCACGTGAGCTCTCACGCACCGCGCACGTGAATAGCACGTGGGTGGCCAGGGCTGAGGAAGGCGATCGGCGATAAGGAAAAGGCCGAAAACGGTGAAAAACGAAAGTTTCAAGTGGGAACTGAGATGTATATCGTTCGATAGCATTTTGCATGGAGAATCGAATGGTGTACACCACAGCTCCGTAGAGCCACCTGGAAGACCAATCTGGTTTTTATTTCAGGGCATGACGGAGAGCGATGTTTGAGGCCACACCAGGGAAGAAACACTCGCTCAAGCCCGAGTGTATCATCTTTTTCCAACATACAAGTAAACTTACTCTACGATAGGGAAGAGAGTTCGTCCCTCCCTTCTCGAATTTCCTCAAAACATCCCTTCGAAAATTGGGAAATGTCACAAAATGGATCTAGTGGCAGGTAAACTAGATGTTCTCCAGAAAGTGAGTTGTATACCGTTCGACAGTATTTTTATGGGGAATTGAATGGTGCACATCTCAGTCTTCTATGTTCATCTGGAGAACCAAAAAAATCTGATCATATCGCAAGGGCATGACGAGGTGTGATGTTTGGGGTCACACTACGGAAGGAAGACTCACCTGCCACCAAGGTTTCTATGTAATTCCTACAGACAAGTGACCGTAGTCTACGACAGTAGAGGAAATTCGTCGCTGCCTTCACAGCTTTCTACATAACATTGCTCTACCTGGAACATAGTCGAAATGGGCGAGGCTGTGATGGTTGGGCACATACGAGAATGAGAGATTGTTTCAGAGGCATGATTATCCAATAGGCAAAGTTTCGACGAAAAATGAAACTTTGAGATTTTGGGGCAGAAATAGTGGAATAATGATGCCCAATCGGCAATAGGGGAAGTCTGAAAACGGTGAAAAACCAAAGTTTCAACTGGGAGGAGTAATGCATAACATTCGATAGCATTTTTCACGGGGAATCCAATGGGGCACATCTCAGGTCTGCGAGTTCATCTGGAAATGCAAAAAATCTGATCTTTCCACAAGGGCATGACGAAGAGGCATTTTCACAGCCACAGCACGGCGGAAGCGCTCGTCTACAAGCAAGTGTGTCATCTTATTTCTACACTCAAGTAAGCGTATTACAACGTGAAGAGATTTCCCCTCTACCTCAGGGGTTTCGGACACTGCGCTAAACGTTGGAAATTTCACCAGGCTAGGGAGGCGAGGAGCTGCATGGCCACAGATGAAGGGCGGCATTGCAAGCTAGTGCGTTGATCTTATTGCTCGCACATAAGTAAGTCGTACTTTAAAATAAGAGAATCCAGGCTCCGGCGGCAGTTTGAGCTACCTTCGTCTTCAAACATGTGGAAAATTTACAGAGAGGCGATTACTGTCAAGCCGAGAATTGATCTATGATTTCCATTTGAACACGAGAGGAGGAGATGTTGAGCGCAGGGGCTACGTGTTAAGTCATTTAACGCGCCGCTGTGGAATAGGGACCATGAAATCTGGAAAAAAGCAATCGATCCATTCACAATACAATGGACGATGTTGAATACGCGGCGCGTTCTGGGGCAACTGCTGAGACCCATCTCTCTGAAGAACGATCATGATGCATAAGCGGGATTATATGCGCACCACATTCAAACAGTTTTTTCTCGAGCCAAAGCTCGAGTGCATGGCGCAATCTGAAGTAGGGCTTTCCAAAAATTTAAAAGCACATTCTTATAGAACTCGTCGAGCTGAGTTCAACGCTTTTTTCAGATTTCAAATCTAATTGAAGCCCGCACGTTCAACGAAAAGACGAAACGAAACTGCGAATTTGACACGACGTTGTGTTCGCGTGTTTTTTTTTCGATTTTTTACGGCGAGTACCGTAGTTTTCCACATGGTTAGACTCGCCACAGAGAGACGAGTCCAATGGTGTAGAGCACCAATCATTTGACCCGCTTTGGGGGGAGTTATGAAGGGGCGACGCTTTGCGACGCTGCAAATCCGTCGCTCAGCGGAGAAATTTCAAAAGTTAGTGGCGGTATTGTATTCTTGTTGTTAGTTGTTCGTTTAACATTCAGATATCTCATATTTGTTCTTAACCCTTATATTTGTGTTATGATAGAATTGAGCTATCCCTGAGCCTCATGTGTGTAAGATGTTCTTCAGGAAATCAGTGATGAGGACTCATTCAAAATACTTTATTGGTAAGCTTTCGCTGTGCTAACAGCTTCTTCAGACCTAAACATACAAGCAGCATAGATACGTACGCTAACTTCTGTAGGATAAAATGCTAACGAACGTAACTAAACGGGGCAGTCAACAGGAATTCGGTAACTGCAATACAACATAGTAACGCTACTGCTTTAAACATCTAGCGTCGGGGTAAGCCGTTCTTCTGTTGATGTTACTAGCAGTAGTCGTTACTATGTTGTATTGCAGTTACCGAATTGCTGTTGACTGCCCGGTTAGTACGTTCGTATAGCTTTATGCTCTAAGAATTAGCGTACGTATGTTATGCTTGATTTGTATGTTTAGGTCTGAAGAAGCTGTTAGCACAGCGAAAGCTTACCAATAAAGTATTTTGAATGAGTCCTCATCACTGATTTCTAAAGAACTTATTTTTTGTTGGTACACAACGCCTCAACCCTCTATCTTTGCCATTAGCCTCCTTTTCCGGTTTCAGATCTGAAACCGCCATAAATTTTCATTTTTTTCTGCTAAAATGCTCACTTTTTGCCCTTCAAAGGGAATAACCGGAAAATCTAGGATTCCAAAGGATTTCAAACAGAGAAGTACATGGAAGAAATTCCGAGAAAACCTGTAAAGAAGTGCCTGTGAGAATAAATAACCTATGACATCAAGCCTTAATCCCTTTTGATTCTTCAGTTACTACTTCGTTCGCTAAACAATCCAATGCTCACCAATACTTCCTTCTCAATATTTGCTTCCTATCTGTTTGAAATGATTGTAATAAACTTTGTTTTGGCGCTATCCCAAGATACGGGAGCATCCTCTAGGACTGACACTAGAGGGGAGCAGGAAATTCACGAAAAATGAAAACTGCTCACGCACCCTAATGTCTCTCCTCCTCCGCTGAAAACTTAGTCCCGAAAGGCGATGAATACGCGGTTCTCAAATGCGCTGCCAACACTGTGCCCCGTATCTTGCGTTAGCACTCCCTCTTTATATTTATTCAATTACTGGTATCCAACTTATAATAAAATATCAAAAATAGGTATCAATAAAGGAATTCTGTTGTAAGCTCCAACTACGCTCCGCAGTGTTTTGCTTTTAGAGCTTTGGTCGCTTGAAACACTTGTAATACTCGGTAAAGTATCTGGTAATAGCTAACATCCGATGCAGTTAAGGTAGTATTATGTGCAGTTAACCTACTTACAGTGATACAATCTCAGTTTACAATTCTACATTAAGGATTCATTGAAGTCTAAAATAAGCGCTTATGACCTTTATGCACTGATAAGTACCCTCCACCCTCCATTTCCTTTCCGAGAAAAAAAAAACAAGTCCATAATGTGTGCCTTCGCTTTTTTGGTGTTATCAGTAGTGTGGATGACATGTTACTGATAAGGGAAGAGTATGACTAAGCTAATCGTGTCTTTTCGGCCAAAAAGCAGCTCAAATACTCACCAACACGATAAGCATCATTTCTGCGCTCTTTATGAATTTACTGCAACCTCGCAATTTTTTATTGATTTTCGTGTTTCAGGTCGAAAGTCAGATCACCGAGGTTCAGATCGAAACGACTTGACGATTTGCAGAAAGAAAACAATAGCGACGAGGTATGTATGACATTGAGAAGGGTCTTTCACTCATCTCTTCTCTTCACTCCTCCTCCCCTCATAAGGTATCCCTAGAACAGAATATGGGCATCCTTACTCTACATGTAAAAACAAGAGAGGCCAAAAATTTTTAGGGTTGTAGAAGGAGATCAGAAAGTGACTACTTTTGAAGCTCTGTTAGCTATTTCACTGACAAGAAGCAAGTCAGTCTTGTTCCACTGCTTTGATAGAGCCTGCGAAAGGAGAGGCTCCCGCGCCAGCTGTCGCAAAACTTCAACGAGATCGATCTGCTGGGTCAACAGAAATCACATCACAGCTTCGTGAACCACGTCTGTAACTGTGGGTTGATCCACTTGAGAAGCAATAGATCTTCAACACGGTTTTATCTGGAAATAAAATGGATCATGTAAGGCAGATCCACTGAAGGAATGCATTCCCCCTTAGACCGCAGGGCATCAGAGTATTCATTTTTGGTGCGTAAAATCGATATCTAGTTTTCACAAGTTCAGTTGTTTTATAATTTGAATTTTCCATGTGCTGACATGTGACATATTGGCATGTTTTCAGACAAAGTCTTTACAACATCAAAAAATTCGAGCAAGAAACCAGCGACGACGTACTTTGGAAGAAAAGGATAAGTATTTGGCCGCCATGTGCGGCAACATGCCGCAGCTTTTCGAATCTGTACTCATAATCACGCTAGAGTAGGTTGTTCAGTAATTAACAGGATTCTTCTCTGAAAAAGAACCATTAAATCGAAAGTAATGAGGAATTGTAAGGGCAAGCATTTATAGGCCTGTAAGCAGCACTAGTGATGATTCAGAACGAAAGCCGATGATAACATATCGATTTCCTGAAGACGATGATGGTTAGTTGTTTGAAAATCTTATGATTGTTTTTTTCTACTTTTTCATAATTTGTATTGGAGCAGTAACTTTTATCTTGACATTCCGTGGATCTTAGTAATCTTACTCATGCGGCTCATCCGCTAAGTGCAGGCTTGATGTTGACTATAAATGCTATTCTTCAACTTTCTCTTTTCCTACGATTAGCAGAACAGTTGATGTTCGGAGTGCTCATTTTATTGCTAACTAGTTGGTGTTATAATTTTTTTTGAACTCAGCTATGATCTATTCTTAAATTGGTCATGTCGTGGTGCTTTGTTCGTATATCGTTTTTTATTGATGTTAATTCATGAATTTCCCTATTGAATGACCAGGAATAAGGTGATGTGGTAATTCCGCTTCAAAGAAAATTATAATAGTATGCGAACTGAACTGCACAAGGAGAAAAATGGAAGAAAATAGTCAAAAGCGCAAGAGATAGTACCCTCGCCTTCAAATGACCAGAAATTGTGCAATTGCAGAAATTGACGTGGCATTAACGTGGCATCGATTCAAGAACATCTTTGAGCACACGTGATGTCACCTTTTCATCGAGAATTTAGCCACGTGTGCCAGTGCCCGTCAAGGGCAGCGGTCAACCGGAAGGCTTGGTGATTCAGCGTTTTGTAGTGTTCTCTGGGCACTCTCGCATATGCACACTATTACAGCATCTCTGCTTTCTTTCCTTCCTTCAAAAGGCTTAGTCCTAGAAAAGCAGAAAGTATGTGCTTTTCTGTCTGGACTCTCACGCTTTGGTTGACCACTGCCCGTAACCGCCAGTGCCACGTCAATTTCTGCAATTGCACAATTTCTGGTCATTTGAAGGTGAGGGTACCTTATTTCACTGCGCTGCGGAAAAATCTAAGAGGCAGGCAGGGAGATGAGAGATAATGTGAGCGCGGAGAGGGTAGAGAAGTCCGAGAAGAGAGAGCATAGCAGATCAACATATTTCGCAGATAAGATATCGAACGGTGGGCGGACATTGATTCCTTTTGGGAGATTTGATCAAAGCCTCAGCGCCTAGTGTCTTCGGGGCGCGATCTCTGCAGGCGAACTGCCACCTCTATCCACATGAGCGAATAGTTCAGCGTGTTTGAGCTCGGACTTTGCCTTTGAGGCACTCAGCACTTTCCGTTTTTCGACAAACCAGCGCCGTTACACTTTGACAAACCAT